TGGCGCATATGTGCTGCCTGGGAGCTTTTTGACGTCCCTTTGAAGGGCCAAGAGATAGAATTCAAGTGTTTAAGATAGCCTTAAGATGAACTGTGGAAGAAAATGGTCAAAAAGAAATGGTAGGAAATTTATTATAAACGCCCTTTCACTCAAAGGTAAATAGATCATGCTTTCAATGTTTTTTTCATTTTCAGATCAGTACAAGTACCTCTTATTTGCAGTACAACTACCAGCAAAATAAGGGCACTCCTGAAAAAGACAGTGTGAAGACTAGTTTATTCCATTCAAACCAGCACCTAAAGCCAAAGTATGTCTTATTCAAGGTCCTACTCAATTAATGAGTCAAAAGTGAACTATTTGGTGTGCAGGTGGTAAAATATTGACTGAACAAATACTTTCCTTTATTAACTTAACTATCAAAGGGTCAATGAATCGTCTTATTGACATAATAATTAATATACATAATTCAGTGCCAAAGCAGCTCCACAGCATTTTTAAACTGGAGAAGATCATAAACAATAAATAACAAGTTAAAGAGCTTTTCATAGATTGGTGACATGGTGTCATTTGTACATACACAGGAACAGCTAATAGAATGTTACTGAGAGACCTCATCACCTTAGTTTTAATGAAGCATGTGATTGAAATCCTGACGCTCATTTCAGCCTTTGTGGCCACAGCTGTTCTCCGCTGTCTCTCTCTCAGCAGTTGCCACCGTTCACTAAAACCTAAAAGAACCAAACCAAGCGTCTTATCACTCGCTGAAGACTACAACCACCATGAAACAGCTCCATCATTCTACAGTGGGTATTTGTTCAGCTGATGCAGTTGCAGAGTCAGGCAGCTGTCTTCCCTCTTCGACTGTTGTTTAGTTCTTTTTATAATTCCATCTTCCAGCCACTTTATCTTATTTCAAAGGTTAAAAGCATGGCTGGGCACTTAGAAAGCAAATTTGCCATGCAGCTTTGAAGATTTAGGCGGGATGTCTGATCTTCTACACAGTGAATTTATGAGCATGTAGAATTTTAATGAATTGTTAAGAAGAAACCAATGATATATTCTAAAATTGCTTGTATCATATCTACTTTTGAAAGATGTTGAATTTGACAATAATATGTAAGAGGTTCATCCTCCTTTAATGGTGCTTTTTACTGGTATTCAAATAGACGCAGTGACATTTGAAAACCCAGATATGCAGATAAAATCAAGTTTCATTTCAGAAAGTCAGAAGTGCATCACTCCTGAGTATTCCTTTTATTCCAAGACTGAGTAGAAAAACAATTTTTGGTTTCATTCCTGTTTTGGAGATATTCATATCCTATGTGTACAAGCCCAAAGTTTCTTTCACACCCAACGTAATGTAACTGTGACACTGTGAATCCTGACTGGTCACAGTGATCTTGCTTGCACTTAGGGAGGAATATGGCATATTCCATGGACACAAAAATAGTAGTCTGACATTTTGTGAGGAATCCACTGTCCTGCTGGAAAGACACACTGCCAGCAGCAGTAATAGCACGGACACTACTGTAGCAGCCTGGTCAGTTAGTGGTAAAATCTGGTTGGATTAGATCAGATTGGCTCATCTGTCCATCTTAACTGACCACCCTGATTGAACTGTGGTCCAAAGTTCTGTAGGTTTCTGCAGAGATACATCATTCTACCTACAAATGCCTCGGCTTAAAACACATTAGGGATCATTCCTTGTGCCTGTCGTTCATGTACGGAGAAACGTTTTATGCATTGATGATATAAGGATATAAGGAAGGCATTATGGTATATGATGTATTTACTCATCAAGCTTTTCATTCATCTAAACTCCACAGCTTGGGGGCTTTAAACAGGCACTTTGATCTAACCATGGAAATGAAAGCAGCCTGCTCATATTTTCTTCTATTATCAACATCAGTTACTCACACAAACATTTTCAGTGGAGAGTATGGTTTGTTTGATGTTCTGTTATTGTCAGCCCACAGCTTCCCCCATCTCTGCAGCAGCTCCAGCACAAGCTGAACCAATTCATTAGAAGGCCCAGAAAGTCAATTATGATAATTGTTCCCTTTGCTTTGGGACCTACTAACTCAGCGTATGGGCTACTTTTTATTTCTAGTCTCTAACATACCATATATATTTTATTTAGAGCTCATTTTGACTCTCAAATTGCTTCTCTGAAGTAAAGAGGCTAAAAGGGCTTTCGATATGTAGGAAGGGTGAGAAGGAATGTGTGGGTTCCACTCAGAGCTGACTGAAGTGATGATGGAGGAAGAGAATATGTCCTGTCAGGGGAACATCCACAGGAATCCCTCTTACTTATTCATGCAGCAGCTGAGCATCAGGGAAGCTCCCAGGCTCATTATGGAACGTGTATTTGTAGGAGTTCATGGAACAGCAGAGCTCTTGCTTGAAAGCCTCTGCTTATCCACTCCTTTCTCCTCCCCTCTTCATCTCTTTTTTAGATCAGATCACTCAAGGGAAGCGATGTCAAGTTTCATTCACGGAGATGTCTCTCCCACTATCCTAAATCCCTTTTCTTTTCTTTTTTTTCTGTTTTTTATCTTCTGAAAGGCAAAGCCTCCCATCAAAAAGTTTGCGTTGCTGACATCGGTGGAAGCAGATGTCTGTGTGGACGTTTGTATGTTTTCTTTTCTCATATAACTCCCAAGCCAGAGTCAAAGCAGTGCACCATTATGAAAACCAAGCCACACTATGGCTTAAACACTACCACTGAATATATTTTTGATCGAGCAGGGAGTTTAAAATTCTTCTTCCCTGTTTGTGCTAGAGCTCATTTGAGATCGGCTCCTGTTCAGTGAGTGATTTGAAACTGTGCATGGAAATAACTAACACTTCTCTGGCCTAAACAGTACAGGGACCATCAGTAGCACATCATACAAAAGTCACAACCATGCATAATTAAAGGTGACATCTTTGCTCAAGCCACTGGTAAATGGTATCTGCATGACAGTGCACGTACAGTGCACCACAGGGGTACCAGCTCTGTACCAAGAGGCAGTTTTTTAAATGAAATGCGTTGCCAGCATGAATTTCAGCGTCTGCTTTCAAAGTTTCCGCATTTAACAGCTTTCCCTTTAAACGTACTATTTTGATAGATATTGCATATCGAATTGTTTTCGCTGAAGTTTTTGTCAGCTCCCTTAATTTTAGATGGTAAACTGGCACAAAGAGCAATAACGATATGTATATTTTAATTACCGCTTCCGAGATTTACGTTTTTAAAATGTATCCCCCCGGAAAAATATTTATCAGCTGCCAGACTCAGAGTTCATCTGTAATTATGGAGCAGACGTTAGCTGGAACTACAACTGATTGACTCTGCCACAGCAATTTGACCAAAAACATGTTGTAGAAAAACCTGAAATCGACAGCGGAGTAGCAGCAAGGAAGCAAGCAGTTTTGGAACTAAGAAATAATTTGCACTTTCTTCCCAGAAAACGAAAAATAGAGCAAAGCATCAGTGTTCAATAAATGGGATTGTAGTTTAGCAAACTGTTTTTATTTGAAGTATTCCACAATATGGAAGGCGCAGCATAATGCAAACAAAAAGACATTAAAATTCTGCTCCCATAATATGTCCACCACACACATCCCCCGCTATTTTTCCACATCTTTCAAGTTCAAAGGTTGCCCTTGGTTTCTCTAGCATATTTCATGGTGTATGTATTTATATTTCAGCCTCGTAGGATGCTAACCCAGTGCGATTCATTCGTTCTCCTTCGTCCTCGGGCCCAGGTGGCGGTATAAAAAGGAGAAAGAGCCAGGGCTTTTTACAAGAACATGGCCACCACCATTAAAGCGACTGAGTTGACCCATGGCATGAAATTAAGGAGCCAAGCCCATTGAGCAGCCTAGCTGATAGAGGCAGAGGATAATAAATCCAGGGCAGAGAAGAGTGGAGGGAGGTTAGAAATGAGGGAGGAGGGATAAATGTGGCAGCTCATTCAGCCTCAGGGGCACTCAGGATCCCTTTATTAGCATGGCTATTTTCACCCCCTCCTTCCACAGCCTCTGTACTTGATGAGCAGAAGCATCGAAATGCAGACATTTTGTCTTATATTGCGTGTGCTCTCCCATTTTCTCCTTGCTGTTTCATGATCATGGGAGAAGACACGGTAACATTCTACATGTGGCATGGTTAAATTTGCCCTATAAAGTGTGTGTCTCCAGGTTTTTTCATTCTACCTAAAGGAAAGAAAACCAATAAGTTGCGCATGCTTGCTGCTGCTCTCAGGGAGTTATTTGTTTTCATTGGATGATCAACATGTTATTAATGTTTATTAATGCAATGGTTGTGGACGGTGTGGGCGTTTTTATTTTGTGGGCGCAGAATATTCGGACACACACAAAGAAAACTCAGTTATATAGCGACGGTGGAGTGTTCATGGTGGGTATTGTATCCCCAAACAGTTCAATCTGCCTCCATTTGGACTGACTAATGTATGCGACAGCAGCTGCAAAAGCCAAAGGAGAGCAGAAGGGACCGCGAGATTAAACACAAAGTTGGCGGAGCTTCATGCAATCCAATGCAACACAAAAAGGGAGCGCTTTTCCCTGGGTTTTTCATATCCTCTCCGTTATGAATTCAGTGCTGCTTACATAACCATGTGCTCTTTGCCAGTGTCTGCCTGGTTGGCATTCAGGCAGCCACCAGCCTGTGCACCAAGAAATGGGGGGGGGGGGTGTGGCATCTCATCTGAGAACCGATGTGAGACAAACATGAAAAAGCTTTTAAATTTTTCCAGAGTTCAGATAAAAGTAGATCACAACTCTCTATCACACCTCCCATTCATTCAACAAAGGCTTAATGGGCTTCTTAGGTGAATATTCATGTTTTGGAGGTCTGGTTGACTGTTCTGATAATTACAAGACACTCAACTTGTATGAATGATATGTCCCTGTCTTAATCTCAGTCATAATCCTGCTGTAATCATGATAAAGCCATACTCCTGACAATTGCATTACCATCTGCTCTTTCAGACCTAATGTCAAATGTTGTGTTTTTCACCCTCCCTCTCTGCAGGATTTTTAGGACGCAGTCGCTAGAATGGTATTATAACAACGTGAAGAGCCGTTTCAAAAGGTTCGGCAGCGCCAAGGTTTTGAAGACTCTGTACAGGAAGCACATTATTGAGAGAGGAGCGTTCTCTGATCTCCCAGGTAAATATGACCTGTTCTTTGTTGGCAGTATGATTACAGCAGATCTGTTGGTTCAGCCACACACGCCAGTCCTCATTAATATATATATATATATAAAAGGAGAAACACATGAGGTTTTGTTTGGACACATTTAAAAGGTCTAATTCACTTTATATCATTGGCTTAATTCTAACTGAACCCATTTTTCGTGTTGCTTTTCGTCTTTCATGCAGATGCACACAGAGACTCTTCTCAGTGTTTAATACTGTCAGTGGTATTTGTTTTAAAAGTACATCGCTGTGTCTTTTTCCCAAAAAATGTTGTTGTTTTTTTTAGACATGCACCTTTCGGATGTAATGTGAACTCTTCTTCATGTCGTGTGTCAGAGCTGATAGCGGTGAAAAAGTACAGATGGGCTGCCCTGTGGAATTGTTCTGCCAGTTAATCTCATGCTCAGGCCACTTTGCAGCCTCAGCAGGAGGACAGCAGAGCAGCATTTTTCAGACTAACCCCCCCCTCCATACAACATGTTTTTGAGCCAGCTGCATCATGATCGGCCTGTGTCAAAGAGGCATTATTTCATATCCTGATACATGGGATTATAGCGATGAAGCAAACACAAAGGGGATGAATCAGGTCAGACATAAGGCACAACTGGATGAGGATGAGGTTGATGAGAGGGGATGTTCAGAAACGCACATGGCTGCAAATGAAGTTTAGTTTGTCTGGGATTTGTAAAGAGATTTAGCCAGCCAAAGAAATATGTTCATAATGAAAACCGCAATCATAAGGAATTATGTTCACCCCCGAAAATAGTGTTCAGCTATGATATAGACAGCATTTAAAATATTCCATTTCCAGTAGGCCCATAGGGCAACCCCTTTATTCAGTTCAAGTCAAACTTAGAAAAACTTTAAAACCTATTTAAACACTCATTTCTGTTTCTCTGAACTATACCAAATAAATATATGCTTAAAAAAAACACTTTTAAAATGGCTTGATGCTGAGTTTATGTTTGATTTTTCCTCAGTCGGCTAATGGATATCTATATACCCTAACTGACCCCACCCACATATCTGCCCACACATCCAGCAGCAGAGACTGACCTTTGATGTTTACTGTGAACCAGAAAGTGACTCTCCATAAGAAGAAGCACGATTATGCAAGGTTGCACTTAAGTTGAAATATCAGAATGCTGATTTATTCAAGTTCTATTCTAACAACATTGAATAAGCTGTGACTAGGGTTAGTTCCTTGTATGGAAATCCTGGGAAATTCATTAGTAACCATATAGTTTACAAGTTTGCTCAGCTGAGAGTTATTGGTTTGTTTGAATTTCATCTTGGTGAGGTCAAGAGGTCCTTGCATGTCCTTATGGTGCGAGCGTGCACTAACGAGTTCCAGACCAGGCTTTTCACTGCCTACAGTAGCTTGTACTCATAGCACTGTTCAGGCTTATTCTTTTCTTCTTTCATGGATTCTAATTGTCCATGCAAATTAACCGTAGAACCTGAACCTATAAGAGTTTTCTCCTTAGAAATAGACCACTTCAAACATTGTAAAATTAATACTCTGAGGATGCAGGCAGTAGCCTGAAAATCAAAGCATCCATCCATCCATCCATCCATCCATCCATCCATCCATCCATCCAT